TAGAGCTTCTGGTTCTCGAGATAATGCCGCTTGAATTTCTATCGAAAATCGTGAGTATCAGGAGAATGGTTGGAAGCTGATCCTTGTCGTGCCACCTCTTCGATTATCTTGCGCTACTGATATAAAACTAGAAATTTCAGCGTGTTAGAGCCTCTGGCTCTCAAGATATTGCCGCTTGAATTTCTATCGAAAAACATGAGTATCAGGAGAATCGTTGGAAGCTGAACCTTGTCGTGCCACCTCTTCGATTCTCATGCGCTCCTGACACAAAACTAGAAATTTCAGCGTGTTAGAGCCTCTGGTTCTCAAGATATTGCCGCTTGAATTTCTATCGAAAACCATGAGTATCAGGAGAATCGTTGGTAGCTGAACCTTGTCGTGCCACCTCTTCGATTCTCATGCGCTCCTGATACAAAACTAGAAATTTCAGCGAGAAAGAACCTCTGGTTCCAGAGATATTGCCGCTTGAATTTCTATCGAAAAACATGAGTATCAGGAGAATCATTAGAAGCTGATCCTTGTCGTGCCACCTCTACGATTCTCGTGCGCTCCTGATACAAAACTAGAAATGTCAGCGAGTTCGAGCTTCTGGTTCTCGAAATATTGCCGCTTGAACTTCTATCGGAAAACATGAGTATCAGGAGAATCATTAGAAGCTGATCCTCGTCGTGCCACCTCTTCGATTCTCATGCGCTCCTGATACAAAACCAGAAACTTCAGCGAGTTAGCGCTTCTGGTTCTCAACATAATGCCTCTTGAATTTGTATCGAAAATCGTAAGTATCAGGAGAATGGTTGGAAGCAGATCACTGTTGTGGCACCTCTACGATTCTCGTGCGCTCCTGATACAAAACTAGAAATTTCAGCGAGTTCGAGCTTCTGGTTCTCGAGATATTGCCGCTTGAATTTCTATCGAAAATCGTGAGTATCAGGAGAAACGTTGGAAGCTGATCTTTGTCGTGCCACCTCTTCGATTCTCATGCGCTCCTGATACACAATTAGAAATTTATGCGAGAAAGGGCCTCTGGTTCTCGAGATATTGCCGCTTGAATTTCTATCGAAAAACATGAGTATCAGGAGAATGGAGAGAAGCAGGTTGATGTCGTGCCACCTCTTCCAACCTCATGCTCTCCTGATACACAATTAGAAATTTAAGCGAGAAAGAACCTCTTGTTCTCGAGATATTGCCGCATGAATTTCTATCGAAAACATGAGTATCAGGAGAATCGTTGGAAGCAGGTTCACGTCGTGCCACCTCTTCGATTCTCATGCGCTCCTGATACAAAACCAGAAATTTCAGCGAGTTATTACTTCTGGTTCTCGAGATATTGCCGCTTGAAATTCTATCGAAAATCGTGAGTATCAGGAGAATGGTTGGAAGCCGATCCTTGTCGTGCCACATATTCGATTCTCATGCGCTCCTGATATAAAACTAGAAATTTCAGCGAGTTAGAGCTTATGGTTCTCGAAATAATACCGCTTGAATTTCTATCGAAAATCGTGAGAATCAGGCGAACCGTTGGGGGCGTGGCCTAGTCGTGCCACCTCCTCTATTCTAATATCCTCCTGATACAAAATTAGAATTTTCAGCGAGGAAGAACATCTGGTTCTCAAGATATTGCCGCTTGAATTTCTATCGAAAAACGTGAGAATCAGGAGAACCGTTGGGGGCGTGCCCTAGTCGTGCCACCTCCTCTATTCTTATATCCTCCTGATACGGAACTAGGAATTTCAGCGTGAAAGGACCTCCCCTTCTCGAGATATTGCCGCTTGAATTTCTATCGAAAAACATGAGTATCAGGAGANCGTTGGGGGCGTGGCCTAGTCGTGCCACCTCCTCTATTCTTATATCCTCCTGATACAAAACTAGAAATTTCAGCGAGAAAGAACCTCTGGCTCTCGAGATATTGCCGCTTGAATTTCTATCGAAAAACATGAGTATCAGGAGAGTCGTTGGGAGCTGATCCATGTCGTGCCACCTCTTCGATTCTCATACGCTCCTGATACAAAACTAGAAATTTCAGCAAGTTCAGGCTTCTGGTTCTCGAGATATTGCCGCTTGAATTTCTATAGAAAATCGTGAGTATCAGGAGAATGGAGAGAAGCAGGTTCATGTCGTGCCACCTCTTCGATTCTCATGCGCTCCTGATAGAAAACTAGAAATTTCAGCGTGTTAGAGCTTCTGGTTCTCAAGATATTGCCGCTTGAATTTCTATCGAATGTCGTGAGAATCAGGAGAAACGTTGGGGGCGTGGCCTAGTCGTGCCACCTCCTCTATTCTTATATACTCCTGATACAAAACTAGAAATTTCAGCAAGTTCGAGCTTCTGGTTCTCGAGATATTGCCGATTGAATTTCTATCGAATACCGTGAGTATCAGGAGTATGGAGAGAAGCAGGTTTATGTCGTGCCACCTCTTCGATTCTCATGCGCTCCTGATATAAAACTAGAAATTTCAGCGAGTTAGATCTTCTGGTTCTCGAAATAATGCCGATTGAATTTCTATCGAAAGTCATGAGAATCAGGCGAATCGTTGGGAGCTAATCCTTGTCGTGTCACCTCTTCGATTCTCATGCGCTCCAGATATAAAACTGGAAATTTCAGCGAGTTAGATCTTCTGGTTCTCGAAATAATGCCGCTTGAATTTCTATTGAAAATCGTGAGAATCAGGAGAACCGTTGGGGGCGTGGCCTAGTCGTGCCACCTCCTCTATTCTTATGTCCTCCTGATACAAAACTAGAAATTTCAGAGAGAAAAGACCTCTGGTTCTCGAGATATTGCCGCTTGAATTTCTATCGAAAATCGTAAGTATCAGGAGAAAAGTTGGAAGCAGATTCCTGTCCTGCCACCTCTACGATTCTCGTGCGCTCCTGATACAAAACTAGAAATTTCAGCGAGTTAGAGCTTCTGGTTCTCGAGATAATGCCGCTTGAATTTCTGTAGAAAAATGTGAGAATCAGGAAAACCGTTGAGGGCTTGGCCTAGTCGTGCCACCTTCTCCATTCTTATATCCTCCTGATACAAAATTAGAAATTTCAGCGAGAAAGAACCTCTGGTTCTTGAAGTATTGCCGCTTGAATTTCAATCGAAAAACATGAGTATCAGGAGAATCGTTAGAAGCTGATCCTTGTCGTCCACCTCTTCGATTCTCATGCGCTCCTGGTACAAAACCAGAAATTTCAGCGAGTTAGAGCTTCTGGTTCTCGAGATAATGCCGCTTGAATTTCTATCGAAAAACATGAGTATCAGGAGAATGGTTGGATGCAGATCTCTGTCGTTCCACCTCTACGGTTCTCGTGCGCTCCTGATACAAAACTAGAAATTTCAGCAAGTTAGAACTTCTGATTCTCGAGATATTGCCGCTTGAATTTCTATCGAAAATCGTGAGAAACAGTAGAACCGTTCGAGGCGTGGCCTTGTCGTGCCACCTTCTCGATTCTCATATGCTTCTGATACTTTTTAATTGTAATTTGCGTACGTTTGATTTTAGTTTATCATAAGATGGTTTATATCTGTAAGTTCACTGTGAGCACATTTTATAGAGTGATACGCTTATTGCTATAATATAAATATATGTAAATATAATGTATTATATATGAAACAATTTTTATTTTTGCTTTAAACTTGTAAAATATTTTAAATCAATTATAACTTAGGTTTAATTATTATCAGTTTAAAGTATGATTTGTATTTTAATATATTGTGCTTTGGTTTACTTTTCATTAGTTTTTTCTTAAAATTTCTTTTGTTGCTTTTTTGCAGAATGATAAGATATTAAATAATGATATTTTGTAATCATATGTCAAAAGCATTTTCTTTTTTTTTTTTGTTGAATTAATTTGTTTTTAAATAAATGGAGGATAGATGGAACAAGAATAGATTTCGATACGTAGCAACGTGGTGATATCAGGACAATCATTATTATTTATGATGCAATTATTAATTGCATTACTGTAATACAATTATAAATTATATAATATTAAAAATAATATGACTTATGCGACTTCGATCACGATTTAGTTTTTATGTAATTAAAGGTTTTTTTGAATTGTTAGAGATATCGTTGATTTCTAAAATTATAGTGAATTGTTTTATGATAACATATATTACATTTTTAAATATTGTAGAAGTCCATAGACTTTGAATGGATTTAAATTTTGATGGATATTTCAAAACATATGAGTTGATAAAATGTAATAGATCTAGTCTATGTCTTCTGTTTGATTAAATTTCAGATTAAATACCAATCTAAATATATTTCAATAAATATGAAATCCTGTTATAAGTATTGATTTTATCGTTTCCAATGAAAAACCAATGGATGAATTCGTAAAACACGAATAGAGCTCTTTCTGACACATGTGTAAATACAAGGTAAAAAATGGAATAATTTTAAATACTAATCTCATGTTTTGGAATCTGGAGATATTAGAATTAACCATTTTTCTTGTATCATTTTACTTGGTATAATCACAGATGAACTTCACGTTTGAGTATTGAATGTTTAACAACACTGTAATGGTTCTTAAAAATCATATTGCTGGCGCATTCACTAATTCTTCAACTCACCGTATTTAAACATAGAGTGCGCTAAAAATCCAGTGATTTTTTTAGTATGTTGGTATTTCAAGTCACGGGCCACGAAAAACCATAAGATGCAATATCTATTCCTATACTTCGTCTGTGATTGGACCATAGATGAGGTATTCATATACCTCATCTGTATTCTGAAAAGTCCCGTTTTATGTTTGGTTTATTCTATCTTTAGTCAATGTCAATGGTTATATTTTATAAAATATTCAAATATAGTTAAAATCATATTCTATACTATTTAGCTCTAATATTCTAAAATATTTTAAAATATATTATGAATAATTCTTTACCTTGTTTAATAAATAATTAATTATATAAACTACCATAATCTTCGTTAGGTACAAACACATATTGAAATACAGCATTTGTAAATAAGAATGACATTCTATAATGTTGGTAACAGTTTTGAATAATGTTTAACACCTAACGGGACATGCTAGAAAGTACAGTAATAAACAATGTTGTTCGTGTAATCTGTAAGAAACAATGCAAATATATAATAAAAGAAATTGTAGTTTTTTCAAAAATTGAATATTTTGAGATAGATTTATAGATTTAGTGTAGCATGATGAGATATCATTTTTGTACTCTCAATATTTTGGTTATATTAACGTTAATTATTTGAAAACATTTATTTTTATTAATTGTATGCCGAAAAACTCCTGCAATAAATTTGTAAATATAATTACGTTTTAAAAAATATGAAGTTCTAGTTATTGGAATATAAACATACATGAAACATTAATGAAATTAGCTTTTTATAAAATTTATAAAAATGAGTTTGGAAGATGAATGTAACATAACTGCAAGGTATCGAACTGTCCGCAAGCATTTAGATAGCTTAGGATACAAACAAGCACTTACATTAGACTCACTTCCTCTGATAGAGAAGTTATTGGCTGATTTGATACAAACAACAGAAAGCTTAAAGCATTTTAAAAGCATTGCTCAAGAAAACATTGAGGTTTGTGCTTTTGTTAAGTTAAAAGTCTTAAGTTAAAAGTCTTTTTTTTTGTCTTCAATCTAAAATTATATTGAATATGTATTTTTAAAACACCCTTTGTATAAAACAATGAATATGCTGTAATGCTTTGATGTAATAATGAATTAGAGAAATATGTGAGATATTTTAGAATAATGAAAAAAACAAGTTATATTACTCAATTTTGTTATTATATTTATATAATTTAATATTTACATTGTATCAATAGGCACACGTTCAGTTACAATCAACAATTGATCCGTATAAATGTGATAATGTAAGGCTAGTACAAGAATGTAACCAGCTTCACTTAGATTTGATAAAAGAAAAGGAATGTCATCAAAAGCAAATTAAAGATCTCAAGAAGGAAGTATATAAATTAGAACGTGAATGTAATGATCTTCAGTTGGCATCTTCTAGGAATTTACATAGAATTAAGGAGCTTGAAGCTGAATCTGCTAAAAAATCAAAAAGAATTTTGGAACTGCAAGGAAAATGTTTAAAACCAACTGTCAGTAATGTTGGACTAGGTAAATTATATTTATTTTTTATTTTTTGTCACGTTTGAGATTATCTTTTTATAGAAATTTGTTTATGATCTTGGAAAATAATATTTTCTTTTTTAAATTGTTATGTTTTATTGTTACTAATGTTTATTTTGATTGTTACTAGCTTCTAAGAAACGTCCTGTTTTTCCACTTCGAAGACCCGTTATAGAAAGTGAACCATTACCAAAAACGGGAAATAAATCTACTCCGTTACCAAATTTAAGTGTAGTGGAACCAAAAATTGTTGATTTGTTAAGCATGGCTGATCATAAGATGAATTGTTTAAGTCATGAGGTAACAAAATTAAAGGGAGAACTTTCTTTACAAACCGACAATATACAAATATTAAAAAGTCAGGTATAATACTATCGATTACATCTGCATGAGTTTAAATTGCTTCTGCTTGCATGTAAAAAATTTATATAATGTATTAAATGTTTTATTTACTGTTAATTACCACTAACAACAGAGGATATATGGATACTAAGTATATGCATGTTTATTTAAATTTGCAAAAATTGATCAAAAGGACAGATAAAAATATATTACAAAAATATATTTATAGTTGACTACTAAGGAAAAAGAAATTTTGCGATTAAAGAAGATGTTAGAAGGAGGTAGACCATATTTAGCTGTTTCTAAAGATTGTGCTTGTAAAAAAGCAGACTGCAGTTTTGTAACATCCAATTTCAATATAGATAGTAATGAATTAAAAGTTCTTCAACAAGAAAAATTAGAATTAGAGCAACAATTAAAAGGTAAACAATTTATTTTCTTTTAATTAATTCTTTTATTAATTTTCTTCTAATTAATGTATATATTAATATTATATTAATATAAATATAAATATATATATAATAATATATTAATTATATTAAAAATATATATTTATATTTTATTCTATACAGAAGCTTTAAATAAACAGCATGATGCAATGTCTCAAGCACTGAAACTTGCTGATCGAAATGAGGAATTAGAAAAAGAATTAAGAGATATAGATCACATTGCATTAGCTGTGGAAGCTGATTGTAATTCTGCAGTTAAAGAAAACAATAGAAGAGTTTCTAAATTGCAGGTAATCAATTATCAAAGATTATATTTTAATATTTACAATAATCGTGTAATTTATATTTACAATTTATTATAATTATTATTATGAAATTTATGTTCATACAGGAAAAATTAGAGAATGTAATGGCACGAGTACATGTATTAGAAGGTGAATTGACCATTGAGCGTAGAGAAGTTCAAGAATTAAGAGCAGATCTAGAAACTTGTAAATTAGAGAAACGTAATATTGAACGTACTTTGGAATCTACATTAGATGAGAAAAAGCAGATGACTGACAGAATAAATGAATTAACAATAATTGGTATACAGAATTTTTACTTTTATATGATTACTATTAATATAATTAAATAATTTTTAAGGTAATAGATATTTTTTTTAATAATATTATAGAAAAAAATTTAAATGATGAAATTGAAAGATTAATTAAGGAAAATGAAAAACAAAGACAAGATATTATTCAATTACAATATAACAATAAATTATTAAAAGAAGAAATGAATAGAACAGAAATATTAGATGATAATGGAACAAAAGGTGCTAAAGAAAAAAGACGGCAGAATAGTTATGATAAAGGTAAAATTATAAGATATAAAATATAATAAAAAAGAAAGAGTAATTTTATGTTTAAAGATTCATAAATCTATTTAAAATTATTAGGAGAGAATAGAATAGAATTTCAAGAACCATATAGAGAAAAAGATTTTCTTCAAGGAATAAATAATGCCGAATGTGAGAAAGAAATTGAAATAAATGATGTATGTTTCATAAAAAATATTTCTTTTACATACTTGTTTTGTAATGATATAAATATATTAATCAGTATTTATTTTATCAGTTACAACAAGCTATTGAACAATTAAGGAGAGAGCGAAATTTCTACAAAAATGAATATAAAAATATTAAGGATAACTATAATAAAGTGATCGAAAAAGACCACGTAAAGTGTCATCTGTTATGTACTCATAGTTTCATTTAATTTATTACTATTTATTTAGTAATTTAGAAAGTACAAAAGTTTTAAATAATTATCTTTACATTCAAAAATAGGTTGATCTATGGTCACGAATTCGAGAATTAAAATGTCAGTTAAACGAAAAAGAAAATGCACTAGATGAATTACAGCGAGAAAAGAAGGAATTATATCGTGAAAAAACTAATTTAGAAACACGTTTACAAACTTATAAAACTGAACATAAAATACCTTGTCGATCTTGCAATCTATGTAAACGTGGTGTTGCATGTAATTGTTCTGCTTCAGTTATTAAAGATCTAGATAAAATGAAGGTAAAAATTGCAAATTATTTTTTATTTTATTATTTTTGGATAAAATTGCAATTTGTACTTTATTAGAGAAAAACTTCATAGTCATAATATCTCTTTTCTATAAAATGTTTTTAAGAATTTGTAATAAAATTTATGAGTAATATTTTTTAGAATATTATTGAACGTCTGGAACATGAACGTGATATTGCACGTGCTGATGTTGATCGTTTAATCGAAGAACGTGATGCATTACGCGAAAGATTGAAGGTAATTTGTTAAATTGAATTATTGATATTGATGTTATATGAATATGACAATTTATAAATCAGATAGCAGCAGAAGCACACACATCTGAACAACGTCGTTTAAGAGAAAACTTGACCGATGTTGAAACACGATTAAAACAAATAGAAAAAGAACGACAAGAACTCTTACATACACAAGGAGCACGAAGAGCTACCATAAATGGACTTGAAGATCAATTACAAGATTTGCGAGAAGAATTAAGACGAACTAAACAAGAATTAGGAACTCAGCGGACACAATATTTTCAACTTCGGTATTACTTATTTTTCATTTTAAAAATTTTTATAGAAATTACAATACAAAAATATTTCTTTATGATGTATTATTGATATATTTATGTATAATTAATAAATATATTAGAGCTCTACAAGATCAAACTGATCAGGCTTTAACAGATGCTCAGAATCAATTAACACACTCAGAATCGGAATTAAATAAAGCGTTGGATCATAATCGGACCATGGAACGGCAGCAGTTACAGCTTGAAAATCAAATAGAAGAATTACAACAAGAAATTACTAATCTTAAAGCAAATATGACACATCTGGATCATGAAAAGGATCAATTATTGGTAAGTAAGTAATACATATAATTATGTTACAAAATAATCAATAATATACTTAAGTTAATGAGTCATTTATCTTAGATGGTATTGGACGAGAAGACAGAAAGAATAGCTACTCTAGAAAAAGAAATTATAATGAAAGAACAACAACTAATAGGAAGGGAGCAACAGGTTCGTGACCTACAACACAAAAACGAGTAAGTAACATATAAGTAATTTTATAAATTTATAATCTGATACATTCTAGAAAGTTGGTTTTCAAAAACCTAGTTATTATATTATGAACATAACACTATAAATTGTATATATTTACAAAAGATTGGCAGTGAAAGTGATGTTTAAATATTAGATTTGATAAAAATATTTTCATATATATTTATAATAGAGAAATATTAAATAGTAGAATTAGACTAATGATATATCTATCAGTAGGATTTAAGATAGAATAAACCTAATTATAAAAATAAACAAAAAAATTTCATAGCACTAATATATTAAATAAATAGAAATTTGAGAAATTTGCACGAGATTGTTGGGAACATTTTATGCAGAAGATTTGTACATCATTATTTACACAGAATATCTAAAAAATTTATATAGTAAATAGTTCATTTTATCACCATCTCTTATATATAGTCCGATTTTTATATTTAAAAGTTTATTGATTTCACTTTTTCATTGAGAAACTTTGCTAAACTTACTGTGGGTGGCTGACAACCACCCGGAGAAAGAAGATTATTACTTTCTAATTCAGCAATTTGTGAATTTTCCGTGATTCGTTTGTACCCGGGTCTGCATTCGCACCTTGCTCTTGTTTCTGTTTCTTCGTTCTCCCATAAGCTCTGTTTTGGCATTCTTTTTGCAACTAACCATTCTCCTGCAGTACATGGGCCTTGGGTATATAATTTATAACAGGTTTTATTTATTTCTATCATGCCCGGTGTTGATTCACAGCTATCATTAACTTCTTCGGAACATTTTTCCGAGTTTGTCAATACGTTTTTACATCCACATACTCCATTATAGCTAATTCCATCAACGGATGGTCGTATATTATAATCATATAAAACAACTTGTCCGTTGGGACATGGTCCTCTAGTTCCTATTTTGTAACACGTCTTTTCTTGTGGAAAATACAGTCGTCCTCGTTTGCAAGGTACAGGAATACAAGTCGTCGAATTTATTAACATATAAGCATTTTCACATGGCCCTTTTGTATAAAGTCTGTAGCAGAATCCATTTTCATAGAGAACATGACCTGGCTTGCATACGCACTTAGCTCGAATTATTTTGTCATTGATTACTGTATTTGTTACAATAAAATGATGCCCTTGTAAACATGGGCCGATACCACCTGTCAATAAATGAATGTATTTTTAACAGTGTGAAGTAACAATAAATTAAAAGATAGATTAGAAGGTTTTTTTCTATCGTTTGTATTCTGAGTTGTCTTACCTAACTGATAACACATTCCAGTTGGTTCATGATAATGGGGTAATTTAGAATGACAACCACATATACCACCTGGTAAAAATAATTCTCCAAGTTCTGTACATGGTCCTTTAGTGTAATGTTCGTGGCAGCCACCTATACTACCTGCCCAATGATATCGTCCAAGTTCTCCATTTGTAGAACAAGAACATATCGCTAATCCATCTTCATCTACAGTGAGGAGTTCACCTTTTGGACATGGTCCTTTGCTAAATTTGGGATAACATTTGCCATCCCTAGGCCAGTAAATTTCTCCTTTCTCTGTACATTGTTCTGGATCATGACAAACTCCCCATCTTTATTTAGAAATAAAATAAATTTAGACTTTTCGTATTAATTATGCTGCATTAAATAAGTTTTTAAACGAAGATCTATTAGATTTGTTGTAATACCTAGACTTTCCAAAAGTCTTTGGTACGGGTGCGAAGAATTGTCCTTTTGGACAGGATGCTCTTGTATAAATCTTGTGACAAAGAGCATCTCTAGGAGATTGTGCGGTTCCTGGAGGACATCTGCATTCAGCTACAGTTCCACCTCTACCGGCAGCTGGACCAAGTTCCATTGTCTCTGGACATGGAGCTCCAATCTGTCGAACAAATCCATTATTAGATTATATTTAATGTCAGTTAAGTAAAAGAAAGAAAAAGAAAAAATATGAGAAACTGATTCTCTAATATACAATCTCCAATGATTTTATAAAGAGAAATGCAGCACCTGCCTGGAATATTTTGTAACACTTTCCATCCGGCGGCCAAAATAACAATTGCCAGCCACGTGGTTGAGCAGCGCAGGGATTGCTTGACGGATCTGCCCATGGTGGAGGCATTATTGCTGACTTTACGTGAACAATCGACGCGAACCAAAGAATTACTAATACATCTCGTAAAGCACTGAAACGCATTTGAAAATTGAATGAAATGCATGAAGTACGGTAGCATTCTGAAGTTACAATATTATTTTGGGATATAAATTACAATTACATACAATGATATAATAATTTTCCTACTAAGAGAACGAGCAAATACAAATTAAAGTTATATCACAACAAAGATCTCCGATTCCACATTAATCGAGCATGTGAAACTGAGAAACACCGATTGCGATAGAAAATGTCATGTATTCATGTCTACGTGTGTCAAGATCGAGGGTACTGGTAGAAAAGAGCAGAAGCACGACAGAAATAAAATGACCATACTTTCACTGTTTCACTATGGCAATGGCATTGTCCCTGGTTTGAGATGACGACATGCATGTGGAATAAGAATGTCTCTATATACGTGTCGTATAACTGTTGCAAATTGAAAGCAAAAACACTTTCTTCTTTTTTCTCTTTTGACTTTGCCCATTTTTAGACGAGCTGAATGATTTCAAACGATCTGTTTGAATTAGAGTCGAATTAGAAGATTTAATTTCCATTAAAAAATTTTTTTTAAATAAAAAAGTAACATTGGCAATGGATATTCTATCATAAATTGTTGAAAATTTACGTTGTATTTAATCCGCGAAATTACGCGCGTTTATCCATTCCAAAATCAAGGAAGCGATTACAGGATGTAAGGAACCTTGGCACTTAGATCTTAATAGTTGCTAGACAAGCTTTCTTCAATGACTTTCCATTGCAGTAGTGGGACGAGTTCTGTCGATCGTTCTCTGGTGTTTTATTAATTACGTTTTTTTTTTTTATTGTCTTTTTTTATGTGGGTGTTTCAAATGAGAGTCGTGACACTCTTGGTTCGAGGAAACGAATAAATTGCTACTTATTTGCATATGTGATATTGCTACAATTATAGAATTTCTGTAGTAATAATTTTATGACAACATTACGAATGTCATGTAAATATTCATAGAAGTTCTAATATTTTCGAAGATGATCAATGTAACTGATGATGAGTTTTCAAGTCATCAATTTTATAGTAAACAAATCAGATTATTTCGCGCGGTTCCGGTTTGTTGGCGCTCATTAAGGAAAGTCGCACGGTCGTCAGAGAACTATCGCGAGTTGCGGAATTTCCGAGCTTCCTTTTTCCTGTATAATTATTACTCATTGTCAAACTGGTGTGACCACCTCGCACAAATAAAAAGTGAGAGTATTAGAGATTTATTTGGCAAAGCAGTATTTACGCATTCTTATCGTGCATTGTGGAATAATAATTTTATTACAAAATAATGAATTATTTAACAAACTTTACAACAACCTAGAACTTTCCTTATTATGATACTCTGTTGGTTCTGTTTGAATGGTTTAAATAGTAAAAGCAAAAAGAATCATATTTGAAATTTCTAAAGTTTGCATTGAAAGCTCTAAGAAGAAAGAAGGATTTAATTTTCCATAAAAAGAGAAAAATACACAGTATCTGTCTTTATAAACTATAACTGAAATATCTGTCGCACTTAATGGATAAAAAAAAAAATGATTTTAAGATTTTACAATTTTTATAGTATAAACGTTCAGTGGTGATTACATCTTATAAGTGAAAAGTAAGAATGTTTTTATTCGTATTAGACATAAGATTCGTACGAACATTCGTGGAATTGATGTTTTTAATTAATTGGCTAATTATTTACTGGGGAACGAGGGAACATTGCGTCAGAATTTTCACGTTTACTGCACTTCATTACGTAAATATCAAGATAAATTACTATGTTCATTTATAATGATTAACCGAGAGAATTTGCACGAAATTACGTAAATTTTTTAATGTGTATTTTTCAATTACTTTCGATCAAGTTTAATTCGATAGATTTTTTTTTTTAAGATAAAAACACGAGATCGGGTTTATTAAAACTTGAAAATATTCCCCAATAAACAATCGAGTATCAGAAAGTGTAAAAATAACTATAGTGACACAGTTTGCAATAATGATGGTAGTGCTCCGTACAAAATTATTAGTGCAGCTGTTTGATTCATTTCTTCTATTCTAATTACTCTGATATTACTGAAAAGTAACGATGGGCGTACGGGAACATCATCGGTGGCACTTATTGTGAAAAGAAGTAATGATCATGAATTCTTTGAAAGGTTATAGCTGTTTGGATAGGAGTAACGATGACAGACGATATAGGTATGATTTTTTTAATCATTTGTTTTCTGATTAATGTATGACTACTATTAGTCGAATTCGTGACATTCTTTGCAAAACGAGACTTCATATTTCCATTCGATCCCTTTTAACTAGTTATGAACGATTAAGTGACGATTTAATACTAGAACTGCGAGAAGTTCGAATAAAGAATGAATTAATATTCATTGATTAATAAAAGTATTCTTTACTAATGTATGTATCTAATTTTGTTCCAATGACTGTAGTTCTTTTAACGCTAGTTAAGAATGATCCAATTACATTTAATAGCAAAACAATAAGAGTTCAATAAAGAACGAGAATTGACATTTATTAAAAAAAGAATTCTTTACTAACACTAATTTATAGACATGTGTAGCTAATTTCGTCTCAATAAATGGAGCTCTATTTCCATAATTATGCAATGCAACTCCCATTCTCGTGAGACACTTGTTATTTCATGCTGCACACTTGTTATCTGTCATCCCCTATGATGTAACTCGTCATCTATCGTTGGTCCAGTGTCTGATGTGTTTGTACTATTTCTTTCACGTCTCTTTCACGTCTACCTTTCAGTCTTTTTATGTGCGTTACATAAAAATAATGGAGCGAGCGATAAAAATCAGAAGCGTTATGTCAGTAGTAGGTCGCATATTTTGGAATAGAACCTTTAATATTCTGGCCGGCAATTCCACTAGATTTCAAGATACGTGCTTTGCACGTATCTTCGAAAAGCATCAAGATAATTGTTTAACTTCGGACTTTCATTGCCAACTAGCTTTCTCCTTATTCACGCGGTTGAAATGTAACGATTAATTGTCGTTCGTTTAGTTGGGTAGGTGATATTTTTCAACTTCTGCGTGGCCGTTAAAGATACACATACATACATCAAGCAGATACTTGAAATTTAGAGTTTTTTACTTTGTTCCCTTTTATTCTAATAATTAAGTTAGTTTGCTTATGTTGATGCTCTATGTGAGATTGCCTTCATGTTTATTTGATTTGAATCTTAGAAATGCGATACCTTAATTATTTAAATTCATTTCTTACTTAATAATCATTGAACAAAGAAATAATGATATTTCTCCGTCATCTTTTAACTCTAATAACTGTTAAATTCTTCGAAAGAAATCTAGTCGTTTAATAGTCATAGACATTTAAAAAACAAATACTTGGTATTTCGTTACGTATATTAATTTTGATTAATATCTTCGTATACTTTCACAACAGCATTTACATTTTCTTTAATTTTTCAATAATTCAACAAATCAGCTGTTATTTGAAATTCAATCAGTTTAAATTAAAAAATAATCATTTTCCATGGCGCTTGTCGTAATTGAAAGTAAAAATCATTAATTAACAAGTGTGACTAATCTGAAATTCTGCTTGATGAACCTTCGTTATTAAAGTAACTTTCATTGTCTTCTAGATGAGCTATTGTGCCCTGCTTAAATCATTTTAGTGCAAGATCTTATATAACAAGAGATGTAATCACAGAATAATCTCATAAAATCACATTGAACTATAATCTCGCTAAAGGATCTCTTGCAAAGATCAGGTCGTGGCATTTGTATTAGAGGAACGAAACGACCTTTCAAGATTAGCCAATGCCATTATGTAACTTTCATCATAAATGTACACAACAAATCTTTTTTTCTTTTTTTTTTTTTAATTATAAAAAAATTTTTAACCAATTTGTTTTGTAACGGACTTATTATTGAACTAAATGAAAATAAAAATTTTTACATCATTAAATCAAAAGGAAAGAAAGGATTTAGAAACTTTACGAACTTTGTATCCTTACAAACATTAGCGAATTTATTTATTTGTGAAATCGAAATACAATACATTATTCTGAGAAAGTAGCGAGCATTGCTTTTCATGAAGTTAAGCATTGCTTTTCAGGAAGGAATAATTGCACTTCTTGGTAATATTTGTATCGCACCGAAGCGATATTTCTTGACGGTATATTCGCTTTTTAATTGTCTTAACTATACGCGAGTTATCATATACTCGTTACTGGTGTATTTTAAATATGCTCCTTTTTTTTATCATAATTGTTGTTTCGACCTCTACGTGTACCACATAAAGTAGTTTAATGAAAATCTTCAATATTTTTATGCAGATTTAAAGGGTAATTTTTGTTTTCGCTTAATGTATTACAATTTTTATTTAATTCGACAATATTTACGTAAGAAATAGAAACGACGTTTTAATTGTATCTTACAAAAAAGAGATGAAAAATATCATGTTCCCCGAGGAACAGTAACATGGCGATACAAATATAATTAACGGTCAATTGAAATAAATGAATCATTGATCGATCGTTGATGAAACTATAAACGATGACTTACAATGTCGTTCTCATGGTGAAGGCGATTAAGAACTGAACGTTTTGATAATCACATCACAGATATTCACCAAAGTTCACCGTGTCCTTTTATCGCGGCCCTTTGACATCCTGCGATCGACACGAGGCGTGCACGAAACGAAAAGCGATGGTGTTAGCTCGAGCACCGCGGCAAGACTGAACATCGACTTCGAATCACCTCACAGCGACTTCGTGCTGTTACCTAACTTCTCCAAGACAAGAACCAAATAGACCAGCGCTCGTCTCACTCTTTTTCCTTTTCTTTTTTGGTAGGTTCGTTTTATACCCGAATGGATTGTGATTACGTCGACAAAACTGCGTAGGATAAAATTCCTGATCCTACCATAAACGCCTTCTCAACTGCATCTGTTCGCCACGTCACGTTCTTAAGTGCAAAAATCCTCTATCGCGTATCCGGTTCAATACCGGAGTGAGAATCAGACACAGAACCACAATAGTTCCGTGATTTGGAACTCGTGCGTGAGTTTTCGTAACACTCGATGTATAATAAAAATGAGGTGATGATCGAATAATTTCCTAATCCATTTGAAACGTGTCACTATCTGATAATCTTCGTTTTTTATAAATATTGTTATATTTTGTTATATTCTTTTTATTATTATTATATTTCTCCTATAATCGAATGGATTATAGGAGCTGAAGTCTAATTTACTCGTGTCGTCTCTTTATTTGGAAATTAATAGTGTTTAGGAATGGAAATCGGTTGGTATCCTCTTTTAAACAAATGTTGAGTTAATCGACACAATCGCGAAGACAGAGCACGCGAGTGTTCATTATTGGTCGAAAGTGTCACATGCTACGAGTCAAATATTATATACATATACATGTGTGTAAATATCGCTTGATGAAGAAAATGAAACTTCTCGCCACCATGACGAACTTGTTACTCCCTTGAAAATTTCCAATTGTGCAATTTTCATGGAATCGGAGACTTTCGTTGGACGTCCGACCTCCGAAAGGTCGCCACGGACGTCCAACTCTGCACGAACGCACTTTCGTCGACTGAGTGGTGTGTTGCATAATTCGGAAAGAACGGGAGTCAGCGTCCGGCTGGATCAGTTAACGGAAACCGTCATAAACCCCTTGGAGTCTTTGAGATCCTCGTACACGGATGTCCGTAAATTGGCATCTTTGTGAAGATGGATTCCAGGAGAAATCTCTCAAGACCTTTGACTCTGTTAAATGAGGCGGATAAGTTGTCTCGTTGTTGAAGCCTTCCTAGCGATTTTGACGACTTGACACTTGAGGGATGAGATTCCTGCATATTGTGATACGTTTTATTAATTACTCAAGATGGATTATGTTCGTATTTTATGATTAATGTCATAAAGTGATACTAAACGGTGATAATCTTTCAGAATTCTATTTACTTCTAAGAGAAAAATATTATTAATCAGTTGTAGCTGCTTACTGTATCTAGAAATTAACAATTGTTAAGGATAAATAATTTCGTATTTTTGTAATGATGTATTAATGAAACAATAAGTAGGTGAAATTTTCAAAATGTGAATATATGAATGTGTAACTTTCAAGTTATACGATATTATAAGGGTTGAAAGAACTGCATGAATCATACAAATGACTAAGCGCTTCAAAGAAAACTTTCAGAATAACTTTTTAAAAATGTTGTATCAATAAATCAGAGTTTGTTGCATCTATTTGAAAGTATTACGTTACAGAACAGAAGTTCTTTTACTTTCATCCAGCAAAAGTTTAATAAAAAGAAAATCATTTTTATTGATTCTACTGCAAAAACCATTTCTACAAAAACTTCGACTTTCGCTTACGTAATGACATATTCTCGTCTTCTTCCTTCAATTCAAAACTTACAAGCGGTTTTCATTCCTATCCCTTTCGTTTCGGTAATTTATAAAGTTTTACAAAGTATTGTACATTGACGGAAATAATCCAACACCTGTTCTCAGAAGATTAATAGTTATGAATAGAAGATTAATAGTTCAGGAAATATTAAGACGTCGTTGTACTTTGTATTTCTTCCTTGCTATTTCCTGACAATATTGCTTAAATTATATATTTACTATAATGTGGAAAGTCAGTGATATTTAAAAATATGAAAATACACATTATATATAATAGAAATGTTATATTTTTAAGCATCAGTTATATTTACTATAGTGTGGAAAGTCAATGATATTTAAAAATAGAAAAATACAAATTATATATAATAGAAATGTTATTATATTTTTAAGCATCAGTTTAGAAACTCACGCTTGTGTCATCAAATTTCCCTCTTTCGAATTACCTCATTATACAACTCCGAATCATGTAATTGACATAACCGATTACCAAATAGAAAATCCAATCGTTGGAGTCAATCAGACGAGACCTCTTAAAAAAAACCAATCTGACTCATCTAATCTTGCCCCATCATTTAATATCTGTTCCCTCTCGCATCTATCCTGAATTGAATGAGGTAGCTTCTTTCACTCTCGTTTTAACAAACAGAATAACTTTTAACGCTTCATCTTAAAGATATGATTCGTAATTCAAGACTTACATAAATTAACTCGTTATTATTGTCCTTATATATATATATGTACAATTTTGAGAATTTTACTTTGTATATACTTAATGGTTCATTATCTCAATACATTATTACAAAAATATCAAATTACTTATTTATAACAATTACAGATTTTAAATTTGAATTTGGAATAAATAGTTACAATTATTGATAAATAAAATTCTGGTTATGGAGGGAATGAGCTAAATGTAAATTCTACAACATAACTTTTGTAACAAACATTTCTCGCATGGTGGGGAAAGGTTAGAACGTGATTTCTGTACAAGGATTCGGAGTAATGACAAATTCTTTTTCAAGGAGTATCGGCATAATCTCTAGGATCAACGAGTCGAAAAGATTACAACGGTTCTGTGCATCCTGTTACGAGTGCTTCTCACGCGCTTACGTTCCCTGCATTTCGAGGAACCGTGCATTGCCCTTTGCGTGTAATGGCCGAGGTGAATGGCACTTCTAAAAGGGCGTTTCGTTTTGACACCGAGCACCGGTAAAGAATTCTGGCCGGGCATTCTCTCCTATCGACTTAGATGCCGGCTCGAGCCATCCAGGGCGATGCACTTGGCCGTGTGAACGATTTCGTGAACTTCCGATCACGATGCTGTGACCATCTTATTGTTAGTTTCTTTAGTAAACTTGCTTCTCACTCACTTGCCTCCTCAGTCAGGTGGAAAATTGTCTTTCGATTTTTAGAAATTAATCCACACGACAAGGATAATTTATCAAACTTCGAGATTTGCTTCATCGGTTGTAAATTATAATGCTAGCTGGGATTGCAGGTTTTTATGCATTTGTAGGAAATTGAAAAGTTGCAGAAATTATATGCGAAAATATGACGCGTTGAAACAAACTTCCATTTTGTTCCATTTCTTTGTAAAAAAAATGTTATAAATGCTGCAAAATCCGCAGTTTAAATGTATGAAATATATATATATATATATAAAGAATTTCACGTTCCATTTCTCTAAGCGTACAAATAATTATTCTACGAAGCAACGTTGAAGAAATTTGGGAAATTTCATTGCTTAACATATATTTGAGTCATGATTCAATCTTAAGGATAGAATGAACTTTGCAATCGTACTTGTCAAGCTACGTGGCCACATTTCGCCACATTACGGGATCACATTGATGGCTCGGAACCTCCATGAAAGGAATTCAAAATTCTCGAAGGCGTACAACATAATCGCGCGAGCCTACGCGAACAGGCTTCTTTATCGCGGCTTCGATTTCAGGGACATTCTTCAGGACGAACGAGAATGAAAGTATGCCTTGCTCAATGACAATGTCTAACGTATATATGATGATGACCTTCGTCATCGCACGAAAACCTTGAATTTCGTCCCGAGGCAAATCTTTCGTTCGTAATTCTTCATGTCCCGTTTCGTTCTTTTCTCGTCAGAATGATTCTTCTCTCACCTGTAACATAAAAGATGATAAAAATATGAAATTAACTAATTGAAACGTAAAGATGACGCGTGTTTTAGTATTGTCGTTCTTAATTTTTGAGTTAAAAATATTTAAATAAAATATAAAAAAGATGAAGAAAAAGTGTGAAACTTTCTTATTTCGTAGAAAGCGCAAGTCACTTACAACGCTTATCAAATTGTAGTATCAACGATTAATAGTAGATAATACTTCGAAGTTTTTATTGACATTGCGTATATGCAGATACGTGCTTTCGTAATTTTTTCCTTCGCTTCTTCGGCAATGTATTATGCGCGCGTTAAACGTAACTGTAAATTGAAGGTTTCCAACGTTTGAGTCGCGATTATGAAAGTGCATATCTGGTTGGAAAATAAGTAAACTCTTACCGTAATTAAACGAAAGGGAAATGAATACCAGTGAACTTCCGCGGTCGTTTCATTGGTCATGTGATGTATACGAGAATTTACGTTTACATGAACGCCATAAATTGTCGTTTTCTTTTTTATCTATTCAGCATTTTATATATATACACATTCCTATATTCTTCCTGCATCCGGAGGACGTTGGCTCTCGATTACTTGTCTAAAATGTAATTGGATACCTAAAACAAACGTACAGTATATTATTAAAAAATAAAAGTAATGAAACAGAAAATATTGAAATATATGGAAATATATGAAGACGATTTTTACACTATTTCTATGTATTCACACGTATTCTTTTTATCTATTCTTAATAAGTACTTTAAAATCTTTCAACTATCCTTAACAAGTATTTAAAAATCTTTAATAATACTTCTGTTTAATTTAATTAATTAAAATTCATTTCTTTATTTGATTTATAAATCTTGTATTGAGTTATTATAATGTGAAACATTAACGTGTTATAATGGATATTACAAGAACGTTCTGTTGAATGCGAACCCGGTGCTTTCTACGTTAGTTTTCCTATTTCCTTTATGTAGAATAAGTTCACTTTTCTCCAGCCAGTGTAACTTCAGTTGATAGACGGAAAAATTTTTCTTCAATTTAATGTTTACGGTATATACATATATATTACACAGTCCCTTCTTGCATTTGTTCTTCTTTGAAAATTTATTACCAATGAATGCAATATTATTATATTTCAATACAGCATATTAAGTTTGGAACAACATAATGATAAAATACAAAAACATTATAAATTAAAGATGTAAATGGTTATTTTTCGTTGTATTTTCCGATTTATTTTATTTTGGTGCGTATTAAAATATTCTTGATCACGTGACGTGATACTATTGATAATAGAAATCCAGGGGTTACGCAATCTAATCTAACATATAACTATATGCATTAGATCTAAAATCAGTATTTTTCTCGTATGTTTCTTCACGAGGTCCGTGACACAATTCTGGTCGCTCTTATCACACGATTGTGATCGATTCTTCATCCATCGTGTTATTTGAAATAACTGCTAACATATTGACTTCTTTGTCTACTATAATAATATTTTATACAAAATGTGAAAACATTTTCTACATCATTATGTTTTTAACTTATGTAATATAAGATCGTTACATTTACATACTTGCACATTTGCATCAGCGGGATTAATCATAGTAACATTTTATATAAAATATATGGGAACACTATGCTTTTAGTTTATGCAATATAAGCTTTATATTTACATGCTGGAATTATTTGTAATAATATTGTGAACTATGCAGATTGTGAAAACATGTTTTCTAAAATATTATGATTTTAATTTGTGTACGAAATCCCACGTTCCATATCTCGATATTTGAGAAACGTGCGTATTTACGATGCATTTGCGCGTGAATCTGATGCGTGCGTGAATGACTTCGACCAATATATAAATTCGTCTTGAGGTTATTTTCACTTTTATATGAAGGAAAAGGCAGCGTCGTGCGGATACGGACGATCGAGGGAAGCTGCCGGCATCGAGGAAGGATGTCGAGATGAGAGAAAGTCGTCTGTTCGGTGAACAGGTCTCTCTCGAACTTTTTTCCTTTTTTGAATCCCGGCAACTATGCGCCCGCGCGTTATTGCCGCTTACATAATACGCAGGCGCGTAATCGAGACGCGTATGATCGATGATTATTTGAATGAACCAGCTACAGCATTATCCTTGTTGTCTTTATAAAATGCTATTTTAATCTGTTTGATACTATTTTTATTTTTCGAACGAAGTTGAAACTGAATATGAAAAGTTCGACAAGTTGAAATTAAATTATTATTATATACTCGGCATTTTATTTTTCGTTATCTGTATATTGCACATGTTGAAAACTGTTCGAACAATCTCTCCTTTACACAATTTTTACATAGTAACGATAAAGAGAAGATAAATAAAGTAAGCGAAATATCTTCTATTTTTTAATCATTTACTATCTTTTAATTATTTATATTATGTACGTTGGGATATTATTTGAAGAAGATATCATTTAAATCGACACTCGCTGTTGAAATTGAAATTGAAGTCGTGATTTGTCTCAGTAGTTAGAATATTTTAATAATAGAAACGTGCAACGCTGCACGTTGTGATTTAATGTAGGCTTTCTACGTCTTGTCTTTTCTCCTCTTTTTACGTATTCAGCTTTTTCTCCCTAATAAAATTGTTTTTGATACTACGTGACCCGTAAACGGAACGAAATCTGGCCGCATAAATATTTCTTCGGGAAAGAAGGGATTAAGCAACTTCGCCGCGATAGGTGCCTAATTCGTCAACGTAGTCATGCTGCCCTTGTCCTCTTTCCAGAACGATGCTTGCGCCACGAGGGTTGAGCATGTGATTCGCATAATCGAATAGGCACGGATTCAATATTAAAACTTTGATGTAGTATTCGATTTCATGGCGATTTCTTTTTACATAATTCAAATCATTTCTTTATTAGACAGTCGGTTCACTTAAAGACGAAAAATAATTGCAACGTATTGCAACGATGAATTCTTTCGAATTTCCGTTTCACTTCTAGATCTTTTAGTAGTGCGATCCGATGGCGAGTAATTTTTTTTTTTAATTTTTACGATATCAGAATATGCGTGGATCAAAGCGCGGATCAGAGCAGACAACTAAGATCGATACAGCTGGAGATGGAAAATCTTCAGCGACAATTGCAAACGGCCTCGTACGACAGGGAGAACGCTATTCAGGAAAATCGACGAATCCAGGATGACTTAGCTGCGACTACTTGCGAAGTAAGGAACCTGCAGCGCGAATTAGAAACGTCTCGCGCGGAATCGTTCGATCTGAAGAGACAGCTTCAAACTTATGTTAGCGAAGTCCGTAGGGCTGAGGAACTTCTTACTAGAAAGGTGATTCTATTGAAATTAAATTTTAAATCTGACTCATTTTTTTCACTCTTACAAATTTTAAGGTTTTTGGTGTTAATGGCGTTATTGCAAGACTTGTATAAAATTTATTATTTTCCAATTTTTTTTTATGTTTTTTTTATCATTCTGTTATTTTTCTTATGTTTATTATATACTGTTATTTATACTATTATATTGATATTTAACGTATCTTTTTAATTAACTTTGCATCCTTTGCTAAATATAAGATTTTACTATTCATATAAGATTGTCATGTTTACTATTCACATACAATTGTCATCAATTTTATTGATTTGACTTCAGAAATAACATTATGCTTCGATAAGTAATATTCATTTCATTGTTATGAAAGTACAGCAGAAAAGAAATACATGTAATGGTTACTCAAGTTTACAGAGAAACTAAGATCATAAAGAAGAAGATATTCAAACAAACTGTTTCATACGTCTCATTCAGGAGAGAATAGTTTAGTTTGATTCTTTCAACGTTGACATGGTTCGTGGATAATTGTAGTAATGTGAAATGACCTCGAAGTGATTTTTTTGTAACAGTTACAAATGTACCACTATCATAATATCTGTAAAATATAGCAGAATTTGCTGCATCTTTTTCTTCCGTTTACTTTACAGGAAAATGAACGGACAGAAATGTTGAATCACTTCAGAAGCCTGAGTTTAGAGGCAACTGTTTTAGAAAACAATAACCATAGTTTGGAATCTGAAGCAGCTGAAGCAAGAGGAGCACTCCAAACGGCTAAAGATCAGCTGTTAGATTTAGAACGACAATTAGCGGACAAGGATAGCTTAATAAGAGGCTACGAAACGCAGGTTGAATATTTTTTAAATATATCAAAGAAGCTATAGGAGTTTTAATAGAAAATTTGTATTTAATCAAGTGGGAGAACATATATATATATAAAATTATGCTAATAAAAATCTTTCAGATCAGTGAACTGACTCAAACTGTAGCTAGTATGGAATCACAATTACGTCAACAAGGTGAACAGAAGCACATTGCAGAAGCTGATTTAACTGCTGTTAGAGATTTATGCATGAAATTAGATCAACAGAAAGATGCCCTTATGCAACAATTAAATGATAAGGATGCACTTAAAACGCAGGTAAATATTCGTGAATTTCAGCTAGTGACAACAAATAAAAAAGAAAACAGTTTTTTAATTTGTGTTTGATTTTTAGTATGATATGCAAATTGCTAAATTAAAAACGGAGCAAGCCGTAATCCAAGACCAAATGACTAAGGACCGTGCAACAGTTGAGCGCCTTCAAATGCTGTTAGATCAAGCGAGACAAGAGTCTATAACTGTCCAGACTAATAATCAGGAACTCCAGAATGAAATGGCCAGATTGAGGCAGAAAATGTCTGAACTTCAAAATAAATTGTAAGAAATTTAACTATTATAGTATTAAGTATTAGGATAAGTTTTCTAACTGAAGTAATTAACACGTTTCATATAGAAAAGTAAGCTTTTTAACAGAACTTTAAATTTTTGTAAGAAATTTTCCGGCGTTTTAATTAATTTATGATGTACAAGTGTTAATTAATAAGATATTAACTTTTAATTACAGACATCATTTTTTTTTTTTTTTTTTCTTAATGTTACAGGTCTTCAGAATCGGCGAAACTTCGACAGTATCAAACTCAAGCTGCAGAATATTCCAAGCAAATCAGCGAACTTCGTAGACAAGTAACGAATGAAAGATTTGATCGCGCAAGAAAAGAAGAAGAACATCGTAGGTATGTACAAAAGTCATTTTAATGATTCGTTTTTAAATTAGCACAAATTCAAAATACGAATACTTCTCGATTATGTTGTTTTTAGATATTCAGACAGTCTCCCTGATTCAATCGCACAAACTTCACTTCCTAATCAAACTAATAATCAAATTCCTAATGAGACAAATGATGCAAAACACAGGTAGAAGAATATTTGATTTAGTAGTAGCAATTTTAGATGCAGAGGAGGATTTTTTTTTTTTATCATTCTCATATAATGTTTTACACAATTGACATGTTTTTCATAGTCTCCGTAGAAAGTTCAAAACTTGAATTTTCCTCTGCATTATATTTTCAAGTTTCAAATGATAAAAACAAAAAATTACACTGCCAGGCAAGTAGACTGGCTGAAGAAACCTTACACCGCGATTTCCAAATATCCTCATACACGTAATGGCACGCGATCGGTATTTGAGCGACATTCCTTTCCCTTGGATTGCAAGTGTTTGCCATCGGAAAATGTCTTGCACGATCCATCATCGAAAAAATCGCCATTTACGCCTTATAGTAACGAAGCAGATGTCTCAAAGCAGAATGATTTCGTCAGATGTCCAAAACCTTTGTGATTTTACCAAAAATGATTTTGTATATATATCTTGTAGTAATTCTACTAATTATTTATCTACTAATACCTTTGCATGGGAATAATAAATACAAATTTATTCCTGAAAATTTCATTAAAATTAACAATGAATTGTCAATAAAATTTCTTGATATTTTATATCTACTGAAATCTTTTTTGTTTTTTTATTTGCAGGTCTTTAAATTCAACACCAGACAGTTTTAATGTAGATTCAAATGTGGTTATATAAAGTGACTTAATCTACTCTAATCAATAGATATTTCCAGAATGAAACAAGGAGAAAATGTGATGGTCAGACTGAAAGACGCGGAGTGCAAATATTAAATCCCATCGTTGTCGAATGCAGTAACCACTCGCAAGATGCTCAATGTGATGTTCCTTGTATAAATATAATGTTACGATCAGATTGCAAAATGCATTCAAGTCAATATAACTGTATACAGAAAGAAAATACTTCACTACTTCAAGCTAACAGAGATTCAATGAGAACTGATCTTACGGCATCGAATATGCTACAGTTCTCTTCGTTTGATAGAAAATATGATCATAATACTGTTAGTAGTTTAAAGAATCGTTTCAACGTGTTGCAATCAATGCAAAGAATGCACTGTGAAAGAAAATACAATCAAGATAACAATGATTCAATTTTTAATAATATTTCACAACCTGGATACAATAACGATCTGCCTTTTCTTCATCATTCTATTCAATTATATAAAATACCAAGTAATAACGAGTTTCAATCAAATTCAGTCAAAACGAACTTATTTTCCAAGATTAATGGAACAGCTCTAGAGGAAACTTCACTGTTGAATAAGGCTGCAGTAACAAATTTAATTGCTGATGATGATATTAAAGCAAATTTTAACGCGAATAAAATTGCTCAATGTCCTGCAAATTTTTGTAAAACATTGCCTAAGAATTTTCCAGCAACAAGATTGGACAATATTATAAAACAAATAAATGATAGCAATGAAGTTTCTAAAATGATAAAAACCGATTTATCATTAAATTTGGAGCAAATTTATAAGGTGAAAGAAAATTCTTCTAAGTATTTGAGTTATCCTGTGAATTTAAAATCAACTTTAGAAAATCCTACGAACTTACAATTAAAACCTCCAGATATGTTATCTGATACTGAATTTATGAAATCGGAAAGTTTATTTAAACCTTATACACCACGCAAAGAATTTCTTTATATGAGTTCTCTTACAACTCCTGATGTTACCAGAAATGTAATGAAACACAGCAAGTTTAAAAACACCATCTGTATTAACAAAAGTAAAGACGAAATAACTAAAGTAACCAAGTATGAAAGAAATAAATTTAATAAAAATATGTTAGTAACGAAAAAATTAAAAAATTCGTTAATTCCAGAAAGTATGGATATCTGTAGTAATGCAAATTGCGATAAAATTAACCGTTCTATATTAAATCCAAAACGAGACGAATATGACAACAAATCTTCAAGTATAAAAGAACACAACGAATGTGAAGATAAATGCATAAATACGATTGATAGTTCTTTAGATATATTACAGAATATGCTGAAGGATGTTAAAAGATTTAAGGATAAAGCCATAAAAAATTCTAATGATCAAAATTATCAGTTCAAAGAAACAAAGGATAAACATATGAATTGCATCGACATGAACGGAAGAAACGAAGTTATTTTATCAAAAATGAATCGCGATTCTTTTAATTCAGTAGAAATAATAGAACCAAAGTGCAGGAAAATGTTGCAAGAAATTAAAAAACATGCAGAAACATTAGAAGAGCAATTAATCTTCCTAAACAAAAGTATAAAAGCTAAGAAAAAGAGAAGCGAAAAATCTAATATTAAACAACATAGGGATATGATTACACAAAACCCCGAAAAGAAAAATATTTATATACAGAAATCACGTTTACAAGATAACGTAAAATATTGTCAAAATTCGCTAATAAATCTAGAAAATAACTTTAATTCACAACATGTTAAAGGACAAGATATAATTCTTTCACAAATTGACAAAGAAAGTACATGTACGAAAGATCATAATAAAAAAGATGAAAGTTGTGGAAGAAATGATGCTAAATCAATGTGTTCTAACAATATTTCTCCAAAATGCATAAAAAGTACCCAAATTCAATGTGCAAGGTCTATATCGTTTCATATTTTTGATTTATCGAATTTTAAACCAATTGCTACGTCTACGCCTAAGAAGATTAATTCAACGGGAAACGATGAAACTCATCATTATATATCAGTTTGTACTCAAACAACTTGTACATTTGAAGGAGATTTACAAACAACTCAAATTGAGAAAATTACATCGACTGAATTCAGGAATTGTCCGATGATAAAACAAGAAAATGAAACAGCTAATTCAGCAAATATAATTAAGAAAAGAATATTCTCATGTTGTAATGAAGAAAGTATTACACAAACGACTGAATTAAAAAGTTATCCGATAGAACACGAAAGTAAGACAATTAATTTGATAAATACAGATAAAGAACAAGTATCTTCATGTTGTAACGAAAAAGCTATTATAATATCGTTTTTAACGAAAACTGTAAGCAATAAATGTTTAAAGTCTAAATATAAAAAGTCAGAGTTCTTGAATTTCAGATCGAGGAGTTTGATTGGCCCATGTGCTCAGTGCGGTCAGAGATTAATTAAATGTAAATTGTTCAAACGTAAAAAGCAGATGCCTATAGTATTTAAATTAATGTCTGAAGCATATAAAAGTGAAGATCTTCGTTCTAATGAAAATAGTTGTGATTATAAAAATTGCTCAGCATATAACTGCAGAGTATCAAATTTAGTAAGTACCGTATGTACGCAATCGTCCAATTTAAAACTTACAATTGCCACCTCAGTTTCTCGTGCCTCGATTAGCAATCCAAATAACGCGAAAAATAAAGAAAAAATATCAAGAAATGAAGAAAGCTGCATATTGAGTTAATAATTGATACAAAGTAAAAAATTACTAATGTAGTCATTTCTTGAAATAAAACTAAATCATCGAACACCTAGAATAAGAGTCTAATTTGTAATCTAAGCAATCATCTCTTATAGGGTAAGATCAATTATGAAGATAATATTTCTGACTACAATTTTTAAGATTATTATAAAATCGACTGTATTAGCATTATAATTGAAGAGAAATTGTTATTGTATTGTACGAGTAATATATTATAAAGAGAACTTATTACATTTGTTTATATAATTTACTTGCGGAATTAATAAAGTCATACATTGTAATAAAACATATGACATTATTCATTACCAACATCAAATTTTATGATTTTCTCTTTTTTTTTTTTTATACTTAAAGTTGTTGAGATTGTTTAATATTATATTTAAAGCATATTAAAAAACACAAACCATTTTTTATATATTTGTTGTCGAGTTCAATTGTGTAGGTGAAACTCAATAAATAAATTTTATGGATATACCGAAACTTAGAAAAAACGCAAATTTTTGGATCGCAAAATGCCAAAATAAAAAGTATAACTAGTGTACAAAGTAATTACTGTATTTAACTCATTCTTCAGAACATATATATATATGTGCAGATGGTAATGTAAGCAAAGCGAGAGCAAAATTTTTTATAAGTTCAACCAAACATATCATTCGTCACTAAAATTTTTAAATCAGGTACGCTGAGACTTGCTCCTCTCTATAAAAAATATAATGCAATCAAAGAATAAACATTCAAATAATTCGTACGTTTAATTTTAATAGTTTTCCTTTTGTATTTAGTAATTTATTATATCATTCTTTTATTCCTTTACACATATTGTTATGATCTCGATGATCGTACGAAACGGTGAACATGTAAACTAGGTAATTACAAATAATAAAAATAAAAAGCCTCTCATAAGATTTCTCTTCTAAACGGTCAGCTATTCAATTTGATTTATGTATATATTTATATATATATATTTTAGTCATATGTATTTTATATATATATATATATATATATATAATATGTATAATCTATATATAAAATACATAACAGAGGCTCGCACAATGTATTTATGTTTTACAATTCGCGATGTTTAAATTATCAATTTCTTCCTTCGTTACAATCGGTGCCAGCCAGTTCTTTCTTCTCAGCGTCCGCTGTATATCGATTCAATAATTACAAAAATTCTTTTTATGTACCTTGCAACTCCTACGTCTTGTCATAATCCTATTATAATACAAGAATTATTTTTTCACTTCGCTTCGCCAAACATTTAATCTCACACCTTTAAGAAAAATTTACACAGAGCTCGCAACATCATGAATGAAATACAGGTATTATGTACAAATATTTATAATTATACATATATACTTTAATTCTTGGACTTTATTCGAATAATACGACCGTCCTGTGATTTTTAAATTCGCGGATCCCGCCTGGATAGCTGGGTAACTCGACGACTTGTAAATGCAAACCCATTCTCTCACGATTTTCATTGTCACGTCTGATAAACGTAAAAAATATATATATATATATATATATTCGCTTACTTTCCTCTTTTTTAAGGTTTGAGAAACAAAACAATGACTTCTTTTTTTTCTTTTGAATTAAAACACATTTTAACAAATAATTAATTTTGTCAAGTAGAAAAATTTAGTCGTTTCTCACTCTTTCGGTCTTGTGAAACAACTGAAATTACTATTTTACGATACACTTTCTTTACCTCTTTTTTTTTCTTTTTTTTTCTTTTTTTTTTTAATACAGTCTATGATACAAAGAAGTCGATAATATTTCATTACGATTGAGATGAGAAGAAAAAAAGCTTTGTTATCACGCGCCGCGAGAATCACTTATTCCTAAAGTCATTGTTCAAAGATTCATAGCAGCATCGCATTAAGAGTTTCAAATGTAAGCATCGTACCATTGAAATTCTTGTCACTTTTGTTTGTTATATTTAAATTTTTGTTAAAAAAAACGAAAAATAAATATTTAGAACAAAATGTTAATTAACCTAAATAATCAATTTATAATGCGTTCAAATTAAAATAAAAATGTTACAATCGTTCTATCTATTCAATTCATTTGTCATTATTATAAATTACTTAAAAAGAAACAAAATGAAATTCTTTAAATACTGGCAAACTGCCTCGGAAAGTTTCTTCGTACCCAGCCACTCTTTCTTTAGTGCTGAAAATTTGAAAAACACTGGCTTTAAGAACATTTAGGCCTTTCTAAGTTCCAAGTATAAATATACTTACATCTGTATCTATAATATACGGACAACTCGGAAGCAATAATTGATCTGTGACTCCTCATTTCTCAGAAATCCACGATTCACACAAACCAGACCACGTTAATATGTGAGATGAGAATAATAATATGATCGAGGAAATGATTCAACACGACACGCTCGAAGTTTGCCCAAAAAAAGTATAAAAATCCCTTACTAAGAATATCTCTTGATTTAAAGTTAGATAGAGAAGTCGAACAAACGGCTAGAAGTTCCCGAGCTAAAACCGATCTAAAGCAGAAGAAGTTCTTAGAGTTTTTATTATAAGATGGACTTGGGGCCGGAATACGCCGTCGTCAAACTATGTGCGATGCCTTACTAATGTCATACTTTGACAGAATAAGATTACTCAAATAATAAAACAAAAGAGAGACGATAATATAGCCATGTAATTGCAATATGCAATTATATAAGCGAAATCATAAATTCCTAACAAATACATTCCATAAAAAGGTTTTCTTTACATTCTAGGTTTTCTTGTGGTTGACTTATGAAAAACATACAATAATAATATTAATAATAATTAATAATAATATAATATAATATAATAATATTGATTGTAATTAACTATAACGTCCATAAAGTATTTTCTTCGCCCTTCATTATTTTTGTACACAATTACTAAAAACATTTCTTCCGCTTCTTGTTGAGAAAATAAATATTAATATTAAATTTGAAATATTATCTCGTTTTTTGTTTGCTCTTTTCTTTTATCACTGATCTGCAATCACTTCAACTACTGTCTTTCGTTTCTGTTAACTAGTTACAGTACATTATTATAGTCTAAATCGGCAAATCGACTTGCCTAGTAAGTTTATAGGCCTCTTTAATAATTATGGAACATTGCCGTATCCTCTTCTCTTCTAGTTTATTCTCTTCGTCAGTTACATCTTCCGTTTCTTTTTCTTTTTTCCTTACAACGCACGAGCACATCTTTCTTTTGCAATAAATTGCAGACTTTCCGCATCTTTTTCTATCATACTTTTGTTCTTTCACTTTACACTAAAATTCAAAATAAACGAATTGATCGCTGCTCGCAACGTGAAAGAGGTTTCTTTTAGAGGCCTGGTTCAAGAGGTCACCTATGGTTACTGCTGCTTTGATCGTTCATATCATACAGAACTTGTGCGATTGTTCTCGATGATTCGACATTACTTAATGCCACACCTGCCAAATGTGGTTCATACGCTCTAAGATGTCTGAAAATCAAACATTAACAATAATGAAAAAAATGTATAAATATTTTTAATATAATTATTTCTTCATAGTTTACTGTTATAAAAAAAGTCTTATAACAAAACGAATTGAAGAAAGCCATGAAAAATTAAAAATTTCTATATTTATACGACGTGAGATGTTATTAAAATTCCTATAATAATTTCAAGTTTTTATTTTACTCTGTCATATTTTTCAGAAGATGCAAGATTACGTTTACATTCTAACAAGCTATATTTCAGAATTATGAAAGATTATATTTAATTTTTATGATTATCTCTCATTTATTGATTAATTGGTAAAGTGTTAAAAACAAAGTTTACCTTCTGCCATGTGTTGAATATATGACTAGGTTTCTGAGAATAAGCGCTGCTGTTAAGCGAATACTTTTGGTCACTGGACCTTCGTTGTCATCCTGTTAAAAAATAACAAAACAATTAAGAACTTATCGCGTTTTACATTATGTATTAAAATAAAAAAAATCAAATAAACCACTTTTAAATAACACTAAGATAAATAATAATGTCAAGAATACAGCTATTATTTAATGATATTTGAATTAATTAGTTGCAACAGCTTCAAACATTAGTACAATTACACTTATGAAAACAAAATGAAAACACTGATTTACAAGATGATGTCACATGTGAATAGATTGTACAATTTCGACGATGTACTGTACAGAAAGTACTGACATTACTACAATACAGCAAATATTAAATTGTCCTTTAAAGTGAATATAAGATACACTGAGATTATGAATGATTTGGTGCAAAAACAAAAAATTAATTGGAACATGCTTTGAAAGAATTTTGAAAATTGCTTCAAGAAATGATTACATAATATAAACAAGCTGATTTCATTTAAAATTAATGCAAATACATATATACAATAACCTGACAATTAAAATTTTCTTTGATACCAAAGATATTTATATATTTGACAAAAGCACAAAAAATTCAAACACATCTTTGTAAACTATAAATTGTTAATTGATAATCCAATATCCTCAGAAAAATCTCTCATTGAAAATTTTATAGAAACAAATTTTCATATTTTAATATAAATACAATTGTTAAATTTTTAAACTGCAATTAATGCAAAGGTAGTTTTTTTGTATGAAAAGCGTGACAAATATTTTATGTTATGTTGCTTAAAATATTATACCAGCACACTTCATCATCATGAATACACTTCAACTGCGTGAACACATAAATTATACAGCGACGCTAGCTACGAAATGAAACTAAAATGAAATCCATGCTAACAAAACATACGTATGTATACAACGAAAAATGTAAAACCATAAATTTAAAAAAAAAAAGGTAAAAGAAAAAAACACCATGTATATTACGAAAAAAAAAATGTAGCGAAAAAAAAAATAGGCGGCAGGAACAGCTCACGAGGGCTGTGGCTGTGAATCGTGAATCCTTTTGTTTTTTTTTTTTTTTTTTTTTTAATTTTTGAACCCGTTTTTACCTGTTCTGGTGGAGGATTTTGCCCAGGTCTGGGAGAAGAAGAGCTTGAGGTGGCTGCAGCGGGCTTGGTTGGCCTTTGCTGCTTTGCCAAGAGAATAAGAAATTTCATTATATTAACTCAATAGACTCTCTGAACCGGGGAACTATAAAGGATTCTCCGAAATATTGGTAAATTTAGTTTATATTTCTAAACGCGTTATTTTTAATATTAATATATTGTGCTATCTCGCATAATAACTTTAGTGCATCTGTTATCCCATGATTAAGAAGTGTTTTATGATTCTTTCTTTTTATCAAAATTACCACTAGCTTATATTTATTCGCATTATCGTAATTCATAAATGAAACTTGTGATTTCATATGATCTTACTAACCATTAATTCCTTTGGATTTACGAATTCCAAAGCGTGCCGTTTAATAGCATGGAATGCTGCATTCGGTGCATATCCAGGATGATGAGGAGTTGGCGGCGTCGACGTGGAAACTTCGGTTTTGCCTGTGACCGTTAACTGTTTCCTCCTCATCGACATTGTCTATAAAATTATTAAACATGCAACTTTAATGAGATCGTCTCAAAATTAAAAAAAAAAAATTAATAATAACACTTACATCCGCATTACAATGCCTATCATATAAGTGTGTCATTAACGAAAATCTACGTCTTTTTAAGGCATCGCAACTCGCCCAAAGACACAGTATTTCCTCTCCACCAGTTGGACAATGTGCCTCACACACATGAAGATAAACTTCGTGTGGTGTTTTAAATTGCCTGTAAACACAAAAATGTTTGTATTGGATAATACTAAACGACGCGGCTAATTTTGTTTTATTTTTTGAAATATAAAATGTTATATTTTAAGTTTTTGGATCACTTCATGTTGAGGACTAATCAATTACCTCAGACAACCCCGCCACTCGCACAAGTAAGCATTGGGATCGATTTTAATGGTGATTGTTTTCTCTGATTGATTCTGACTCGTAGACGGCTTAGATTCTGGCTCTGTGGAGGTCGAGGAACTGACAGTTTTCATTACTTTAGCAGGTTGTTTTGCCAATCCGTGTGTTGCAGCTGCTTGATGAGGCGTGGTAGGTCTGGTAGGCGGCGGAGTCGAGGCCGGTGTTGGCGTTACCACTCTTGATGGCACACTGGTTGATACTGGTGTCTGTTGAGCCATCGCAGGAATCGTGACAGTCACTGTGTTCGGATTTGTTTGTGCTACGGAACTGTTCACTATTATAGAAGTTTGTGGAATTGTGCCTGACGTTGGAACCAAAGGCGGAGGTATGTTGCCGAGTGCTGGACTCTGCAAGATAGGACGCGAGACTTGTGTAACGACAACCTGCTGTCCCTGAGGTGTGACGGCCACCATTTTTTGTTGGGTTGGTTGGGCAGCAGCTTGAGATTGCAAAATAATTATGGTTTTTGCACCTGTTCCTTGCTGCTGTGTTGTTTGAGCCACTAACACAGTCTGCGCTTGACCCTGAACCAATGTCGTTTGCGGTTGAGCCAGAACGTAATTTTGACCGGGCACACCACCAGAAACAACGTACTGTAATTGACCTCCCGCACCTTGTTGTAATAAAACTTGTGGTTGAGGTTGCGCCTGCCTCCCTTTCACTGGACCAGCCGGTATAATAACTTGATTATTTGGTTGAATTGTTTGTTGTACTACTATTTGCCTAGGCGCTGTGACAATAAGTTGTTGCGGTTGTAGTTGCGGCTGCTGTTGTTGCTGTATTTGTGGCTGCGGATGTTGTGGTTGTGATAGTGATTGCTGTAGTTGTTGCGGCGGTTGCTGTAGCTGTTGCGGCGGCTGCTGCTGTTGAGGTGGCTGTTGATTAATTTGATTAACAAATATGTGAGGATCCGCTTTTATGGTAATAGGCTCTTCTTTCATTGTAACAGGTTCCTCTTTTATTGTAATAGGTTCTTTTATTGTGATAGAATCTTCCTTAACATTTACGTTGACGTTCTCATCAAGATCAGTTTCATCTTCTATACAGTCTGCAGCCAGAGCAGCATAAAGATTTGCAGCTGTGGAGGATACGGTTACTTTTTCGCTATCCTTGTCATCGTCTTCAGATTTTATACTCGAGACAGTGGATTCAGCAGTAGTCGAGTCAACAGCAAGATCTGGTGACATCGTACCATTGGAATATTTTACTTTCTTCACATCTATTTCGTCTAATTCACTGGCAGATCGTTTTATGCCTCTAGGTGCTTCAATTAAAGTATCCTCAGACACTTCTGTATCTTCTTCAGCTTTCATTTTAATGTCAGTAGGAGATTCTTTTAGTACTTTCTTAATGTGATTTTCTACTAAGTCCATTCCTTTCTCGTTAATTGAATTTTTCCCTAAAACACCGTTTAAAATCGGCTCTTTGTCAACTTTCCTCTCTAACAAATCTGCAAGCATCATACTTTGAAGAGGTTTCTCTTTAGATGTCACACTAGATGAATCTTTCGAAGATCCATCCTCCTGTGCATCGATATCTATATTGCTTGGTGCACCGTTCAAGAGAATTCCCTCGAAACTGGTCAAAGAATTATCCTCTTCTATACCGACACCAGAACAATCCCTACTACCACCGATACCACTACTCGACGCCATGGAATTGTTAGTCGAGTCCGAATCTTCGGCAATTGATGTACAAGTTGAACGTTGAATAGCTTTGTTTGCTGTAGTTACGGTTGTAGTTGGAGGCCGACACACTTTGATAGTTGATGATATATGATTTTCAGTTGAGTTCAAAATCACTGTGGAAGAAGTTGTCGATGTTGCGATTTGGTTGACATTTTCATTATCGTTTACTTCAGTCTGTAATGTAAAATCATATAATTTTATAATATACTAAAATTTAAAAATTACAATATTTTAAGATAACTGCATGATTTGTTATAAAATTCATACTGTACCTTGTCACAATTATTAGTCATAATAAATTTGGCTCCATTAAGCCTTTGTATTTTTTTGGCAGGAATGGGTGTGATAGCTGGCTTTTGCTTCGAATTAACAGGAGTCTTTGGGAGTATTGTAGTTACGCTAGTTGTTGTTTGGGACACGTTAGTTAATTGTTGCTGCAGTAACCTTTGTTGTTGTTGACGTTGCGCAACCTATATAAATAATAAAATTTATGGAAGTATTTATTACTTTTCAAAAATTATTTATTGTACTTTACTATAAAGAAAAAAATAATTTCAATTTCGAAAACCATGCTTTTGTTAGTAGTATACAACATTATTATTTTCACTTTGAACTCAAGAAAATATTAAAAATTTTAACTCAACAATAAACACAAATAAAAAATTCATCTCTGAAATAGAAGAAATAACATAACAAAAACATAATATTGATAACTACTTTAAAATGCAAACATTAGGAAACTCTTCGAAATCAAATATGTTAAAACATACATTCACTAAGTACGTTTCCAAGTGCGATCTTATCCTGTAAAATGGTTTTTTATAATATAAATAAATAAACATTATTTTACATTCAAATTTAATTATCGTACACATGTCTGACATTGTATTCTATTTAATAGAGTAATTCAATTTCGTATCATGCTTCGTCGAATTTCTCGCGTTGTGTAAAAAATCTTTAACCATCCTACAATCTATGGTTGCACTTACATTAAAATTCTTTTAAAATGTTTAAAAAATTACTTCATATATATAAAAAAACAAAATCATCGTCAAATTCATACTAGGTGACTCTAAAAAAGATGGCAATTAAAAGAAATTATGGAAATAAAAGAAAATGAAAAAAGAGCTTGTTGTAATATTAAAAGTCTACGTTTGATCAAATAAATATTATGCAGCAAATTATTAAATGCATTTAATAGATAACGTGTAATTGTAAATTTCTACAATAACTTTAACTTTCGTGACGTAAAAAGTTTATTTGATTAGATACGCGTTCCGAATATTATGTTAATAAGATATTTCTGAATATTCTTTATATTCTCTATTGCCACGAGGTGTGATCATCTTCTTCAGAGACATCCTATATGTCAAACTCAATGTCCTATAAGTATAAAAAGAATACTACTGTTTTCATTGTTAATGTACAACAATGATACCTGGTTGCTGGTTATTAGCTGGTTGGCACTGATGCTGGATGCGATGCTAGCAGTAGTGTTTGTTACACAGGCAGTAGGGGTAGACACACAAGTCGCAGCAGTACTGGGCATGCAGTCGCTGCTGACCGTTACCTTAGTAGCCAGAAGGCTTTTAATTATGGAACTGGATGTAGTACCACTTCGATTATCTTCCTTTGCAACTATCTGGACAGTTTGACACTGTTGCTGTACTTGCTGGATTTGTGACTGTGGCTGCGTTTGAGAGCTACTTGACAGCAACGCTTGACTCAGGTGAGGATGCGATACTGACACCTAATTAACAACGATTGTTATGTAATTGCGACATCGTTACAATATTACCGTGTGACAGCAGAGATGTCATTATAATATGGAAGTATTTATTTGTACAATTTTAAATAGAATTTACAAAGAAAATATTCTATATTTAAACACTTTAATAGTACTACTTAAATTTTTTTACTACAAGATAGTTTATGTCGCATAGTTCTCAATAATTCAACTATATCTAATGAATAATTTCTAATGTTGATAATGAATTTCATAAAACTCATAAAGCATGATAGTTAAATGTTTTCTCACAGTAACACTTCGTTTATTATTAAGCATGTGATAGATTGAAGTAATATGAATGAAATTAATCAAGAACAGAATTTATATTTGTTATACAAGAAGATAAGACAGGAATATCGTATTATACTATGATATAGATAACACCTGCATAAAGAATATGTCAATCAAAGAATGTATATTTATGAAATAAGAAATGTACGTCGATCATGCAGTAATAAAATTTTTTAGCCAACATTGCACGTATTACTGATAAAAGTAAGATAAAAGTAAGAACTATAAGCTTCAATCAATGATGAAACGAAATGACCGGATTTTACACACACTATTAATTTTAGACAGTACTTATAATAGTCAGTATAGTAGTATTATAATAGTCATTTATGCTTGAATCAATATCTATACTTTATGTCTATATTTAATAAACTTCTTTTTCACTGATTTGATTGAAACAAAGAACAAATGCATTTCATATAAATATATTAGATACTAAAACAATTTTTTTTTACTGAAATAGGAAATTTGTATATAATAATTTTTCTAGGAGAGAAACTTTTCAGAAAAGTATGTATTAATTTTCTGTTCACACATCTACTTATCTGCATGCACCTGTAGCGATGGATTACACGGGATTCGAAGCATGCAAAGTGTAATTTTGTTAAGGAAAGCCCATATTATAACAGCGTAGTGAAACCATAACCAAAATAAGAACCAAGGTCATGAGTGGTAGAGAGAATGGTAGAAAGCTTAGGACTTGGACCCACCTGACTTTTAGAATCAACCTTGGTGACTGGATTTTGGGATTGAATTGCAGTGTTTGAGATATTGGATGGTGGTTTTGGTGGAGCAGATAATTGGGCTTTTAGGATAGGTGACGCTGGGGCAGAGGTTTTTGGAGGCCCAGATGCAGGATTGTCTAGGGCCGTGCTATCAGGAGCAGGACTTATACTCTTGATTGTACGCTGTTGTACGGGAAGCACCTTTACTGGCGTTGTGTTGACTGCTGGAATTGGAGCTGTGTTAGTCCCAACTGCAGTTTGGCTCGGATAAGTTACTTGGGGAGGTGTGGCTCGTACTCGGATTCCTTCGTAATACTGAGTACCACTTGTTTCACCTTTCAACGGATTTGGCCCGACGCTTCCACCAAATACAGATCTGTAGAAAAGTGGATTTATGTCAATAAACTGATACAGTTTATACGAACGTTATCTTGTTCCACTAAACCAAAATTTAGAAATTACCTAACACATCTTGGAAAATGAAGTGGAGCAATAACACCTCTTCTACCGATCTTTGTACAGCAACCAAGATATTTTTTGTATAATTCTTCCTGTTCTATGCGTACACCTAGTGCAGGTTCAAAAGTAGCTCTCAACCAACTTAGAGCGAACTGCTCGTTTTCCTGTATGATTTGTTGATGCGCATGTTGCTGTTGAAGTGAATTGTTCGTTTCCACTGCTTCTACAGATATAAAAAGAGGAATATCATTATCATCGTCATTTAGCTTTTATTTTGAGAATTATTTTATTATTTTTATACGTACTGTGCGTTGAAGATTTTGTTGCAGTCGCAGCTGGAGTCGTTGGTCGCGAAGGTGCTGGACTAACAGGAGCTGGTGTCGCAGTAACTGTAACCGGAGTAGACGGTACAGACGAGGACACTGTTACTGCTGGAGCAGTAGCAGTAACTGGAGTGTTTTGAGTAGCATTTGGCGGTGGTGCTACCGTGGATACTGTTTCGATAACTCTCATCAAAATACAAGCTTTTGGCCCGTAACTTTGCGCTTCTACAGTAACAAGTGCGACTAATGTGTCGATAGCTCCGCGTACCCGCGCGACGCTAGTACATGGCCTTTCACCTAACGAAGTCAACGCGTACAAACATTCCAAGGTATATACTAGAAGAGCTATGTCGTTCAGAGCTAAAAACCTGTAAAAAGAAACATAAGTTTTATAAATTTTCTATGAATGTGAAGTATGTACGTATATTGGAAAAATTTTTATGATTAAAGTTTATAAATAAACGATATAAGAAAGATATTTTTCTTTACAAAAAATGCTAGAATATTATTTGAATAAAAGATTTATATATATTGAAATTTATGGAAGAACATTCACTCACCTGCATATAAGTTCATACACATTGTCTTCTAACCCAAATCTAACAATTTCTTCATTGCTGTCTTGTTGGCTAATTTTATTAAGCACCTCCAAGCAGGAAATAACGATAAACCTGTCTTGGGATTCAATTCCCTTTGCCACACATGACAATACAACATCCGTTATCCTCTCGCCAGCTTCTTTTAAGATTATTTCATTCGCTATGTTCCCTAGTATATCGAAACCGAGTTGATGTAAATTACTCCACCTTGCTCTCACGCAGAGTAATACGAATCTTAAGAAACATAGATTTCTCCCTAATACAGCAGCGTTTTCTGGAGTGAAACTTAGATTTCGCAAGATAGATGCTATTTGTAGCACACGTTGACCATAAGGATCTTGCGTTCCTAGCGTTCGTCCAACACAAAACAAATCTTTATCCTCTTCTTCAAACTTTATCGAGTTTTGGTTTTGATCTTTCAAACTTTCATCTTGATGCAACCCGATTGGATCTAATCTTGAACAGTCTGGAATCACCTGTATGGACACATACATACATATGTATATATTCATAATAAATAAATCTCATTCAAATGTAAATAATGCAGTACCATTCTTATTCATATGTTTTGCTTCATCTATTAAGAATCAATTGCAATTTTTTTCAATAAATTTACATTATTCAATGCTATCGCTTAATATTTAAACTATGAAAGGACATCCCAAGAATTCATTGTGTATTTTACCTAGATTCTACATTTTTATGAAATTTAAAGAAACTAAAGTATTTACAATATGATATAACTCAGCAAAGCAAAGCAAACTACTTGAAACTACGTCAAAAACTTAAATTAGAGATTACAAATACAAAGTTCCTTCCAAGGGTAAAATTTAGCAATAATTAAGACACATAATATCTCATTTTATCTTACTCCGTCGACTTCCATCGACGTGGAAGCTTCATCGTTCTCCGTTGATATGGCGCTTTTGTTCTGCTTCTCCTTCTCCAAGATTTTTCGTCTGGAAAAAGTCTGTGGACTGACGGTTGGTTTCTTCATGAATGTCCTCTCGTTCGTAAGATCTATTACGTCCTGGGAGTCGAGGACATCCGACCAGAATGAGTTGATCGAGTAGTTCCTCACGCGAGAATAGACCTCGATGAAGAGCTGCCGCGTGCCCGGTGAGTCGAAGACACCCGCGTGCGCCAAAAGTATGTTCACGAGACGGGGATATTTGTCGAGACGTAGGATGTGTTTGCCCTCGTTCGACAGCAACGTGCAGACGTTGATGGCAAAGTCCTGCTCGTTGGGAAGAGGCGAGAGAAGCGACAGCGCGAGTTTATCATAGTTGGATGGCTTGTAAAGATCCGACGAAAGGCCATTGTAATCACGAAGAGATTCTAGAATAGACACGTGAAAAATAGAAAGTTAATTTATTGCTAATAGCAGGAGGTTTACGATGTAAAAAAAACTTTCTTTTGAACACATTTTTTATATAATCTTTCTCTTCTTGCTAAATGGTCTCGCAGTATATTTATCGTGCAAAGAAGACTTTTGTTTTTTATAGTTCCATATTTTATCTGATATGTACAGAAATTTTTTAATGTTAAGAAACATTATTTCTGTATTAATTTATATTTGGCAAGTGAAATACTCTACTAAAGAAATAAAAAAAAAAAAAAGAAAAGTGAATTTAATGATATCAAATAATTTTTGTTTCTATTAATACGAAGCCACGTCAAATACGATGTCGAAAATTTGCACAGATTAAGATAATAATCAGACACGCCGAAGAAGCGAATCTAGTTCACAAGACTCTAATCATCTCATGCGATCAAAATCTCTTCTTATCGAGCTACTTATCACGATTAACGTTCAGTTGCTTCTCAGAACGTTATTAATAACGTTTAACAACGTTTCTCCGCTATCATAATTGATCAATGATGCAAGAAAGGAAAAATACCGTAGTTGTACATTAGTTGTACAAAATTGTAAAATACAAAAATAATTTTATTAAAATAAATTTCTTCTTTCAAATTTCTATAAATGTTAAAACTTAAAATCATTTGTATTTTTCGTCTATAATGTATTAATATAAGAGTATTTAAATTTAAGTCATGTCCTTATGAACATTCACTTATAACATCATATTCAATTGAAGTACTAAAACTAATAAATTGACGTTGCCGTGTACTTATTATGCATTTGCTCTTCTTTAGATTGATTTCACTGCTTGTGTACGGCACAATGCAGCAGAAATGAAAGTTTAGTCAATTCCTTATTTGAGTTTTATCAGAGTTAGAGAGTGGCCAGTTGAATGGAGAATTTAGTATAGTTTCGTCATAGTCAAAGAGATGGAAATTATCTTTATTAAGTTAAGAGGTCAGTGATAGCAGAATTTTAATTTAATTAAATCATACTGAATTTATTCTAGCCGGTGCGTTTTCAAAATTAATTTCGTTAGATTTCCATTATATTTTTTTAAAAATTGGTTTTAATTTAATTTTACCCATTGCAAATTTCGTATGTAAAATTGGTATTAAAGAAATGGGCATATTTTAAATGGGCATGTGTTTATGCACTGTATCGTAAATGGTTCTTTTATAAATGAAGGAAGATTAGAAGATCTGCTAACTGACCGACGACGCCTCATGCAACTGGTGTGATCGACAAATCACGAGTGTAAGTAGGTTGTACACCAGGTCAGGGCCAGATTTCTACAAAGCAACGAAAATACCTGGATCGAACGGAAAACGCGCCTTCTTAACCAACAAATTGTACTAATTGACAACAGCACGATCCACTCGGCAAATTTTCCACGTTTAACATTTTTGACACGTACATATATTTAGTAAAATTATACAGATTAACCTAGAAATAGTTTAATTTGGCAAATCCGAACAAGGAAAGCCCAATCATCAAACTAAACTAATGCAAAATTAGATAATTATACTCACTAAAATAATTCTTTTCGTTTATTATTTCTGAAATTGAAATTAATAATTACAGTATTCGCGATGAATTTTTCAATGAGATATTCAACGAAATATGCGTACGAGATGCAAGGCATCGAAGAGTAAATATTCCTTCACTCCAAGAGATTATTAATAATATAATTGCAGGGTACAATAATAACTAAAATTAACTACTTCTATCGCTCGTCTGGTAATGCGGGCATTTGACTATCTATAAAGAAAAAAATTCGTACTAATAAATCAACCAATGAAATTACGTAAAGAGCAATTGATATGCACTCTTATTAATTCAACCAGACATAGAAAAACATCTCTTTGTCATAAATGATATCGTACGATCGTTGAAAGTACGTTCTTGCACGTGTGTACGTTCTCGTACGATCCTTGGAACAAGCAAACATATCACACCTGTACGAGTTTCGATCGGACGAGAATAATTTTTTTACGTCGATTAGAATTGCACGTGTTTCAGACAACGCTGAATCTGGCGCGGGACTGTCTTTTCTTTTTCTAACGGCATAGTCACGAGGTTCGTGTAAAGGCAACGAACAGACTGGAACTTGCAATATTATCGCAAATCGCGGTAATCTTTTTCAGCCGCAAAACCGCGATCAATATCGCGCGTCCCGGGAGAAATGCTACCTTTTGCCGGAAACTACGGAATCCGTCGGCGGAAGCCGGAGGGGGGAGGGGTGAGGAGGAGGAGAAGCGAGGCAAAACGAAAAACGCGCGCGCGGAAAGGACGAGAAAAAGGATCGCTAATAAAATTGTGCCCCGTCGGGATTCTTTCATATTTCTGCTTGAACAGGGCGATAAAAGATATGATTTATCTTGTGTAACGTGTTTAATTTTATGTTCAATTTTTTTTTTTTTTTTTTTTTTATTTCTTTTCTCCCAAGAGAAAGAGACTCGTGAGTTTTTTTTTTTTTTTCCTTTTTGCTTTTTGTCAGTTCGTAAGTCTATGGATCATTGGGAGTGAATGGGACTGACAGTGAGTAACCATTGTCACAAATCTGGCATTTTTTTTATCATGCTGTCCGTAATGAACAAAGATTTCCATTTGCTGACTACATTCACATTACAGGAAGATGTAAGCATGAAAATTCAGTGTAAATTAGATGATGAATAATAATAATCAGACAATGCAGAAAATATTCAAGAGTGTTGAGTGAATGGATAGAGATAAATATGAAAGGAGGAAAGAGGAGTAAAAGAACAGGAAAATTGCCAATGAATTACACTGACCTATAGAGACTTTTGTGTTTTTAAACAGCCAATGTACTTATTGTGAAAGAAATATCGTTCATCTTCTTATTCTTTGTTTTACATTATTTTCATGTTTCCATTAGTTATCCTTTCATTACTCGAATATTGAAACAATTACGAACGCTGAAATATTACGCTTAATATTTGTAACTAATGGCACTTAGCTTTATTTAAAACAAAAGCAGTGTATCATGCATTGCTACTTAATGTAAATATTAATAAACGTCAATTTTGATGAATGATAGAGGATATACAATCGATGTATGACAAACTGCTATATATACATATATACTAGTGATTTTTATCGATTTCTTTTTTCATATGTTCCAATATTGCATAATGGATCAATTCGATAGAATATGTAACATTTTGATGAGACAATTCTTGGTAATAATTAAGAACCACTTTCGAAAACGTCATATCGAAAAAGCCATTCTTGGCAGATTCGATCAGCCAAGTGAAGATTTGCTTCCAGGGCTATGAGTTACCACAGAAACTTTCCTTGCACTACATCTCGACCTAATTTTATCATCGTTTAAGATACACAAAGTATCATAATACTTGACGTACTGTCACTGCAATTTTCAGTTATACTACATGCGAATTATTAATCGAGAAACTAATGAATTTAAAGAAAACGTTGAAAAATTTCATCATCAATTCAAATACAATCGTAGAAATCTAATTTCTAAAAGGTTGCATCATTAGAGTTGTACCGATCACTGTTGGTTGCGAAATAAAATTGAAATGACATTTAATTCATACGTTTGCACATCGGTGCACGATCTAGGGAATGGTGTTTAATAACTACAATTATTCCTCGTATAATGCCTATCAACTCCGAGTACGCGGCTACTATTCGGTATTTCGCTTTTAAAAGAACAACGTTAAATCGAACTATAATCCTACCAATATGAACGAGTTCAGTACTTATCTTCTTCATCTATGTTTTTAATTTTTTTTTTTTTCTTTTAAGTTCGACTACAGTCAGTAAAATAACGATATAAATTTAAGCGTTTCGTTTTGTATAATAATAGTTGATTTAGTTTTGTTTTTACATCTTCTAGTCAAAATCTTGTTGTTCCCATTTCTGTTAACTCGACTCGATCATTTCCATTCATAATCATTCGGAAATGGTAGATTTCTATACCAGGGACGAGATAAGACGAGAAACACAATTTATCATCATGAAAGTACATATAACGTTCACGTGTTAATAATCCGCGCAGAATACTTGACACGCTGCCAAATGTCGGCGAAAATTCTAAAAGGAGGCACTCGCAAACCGTTTTAACGCGGCTCTCCATGTCGATCAAAATAGTGTGTAAACCGACGACGCAGAAAGTTCATTTTCTTCTTACAGTCTTATCGCGACAATTCACAGTTTCGACGACGAATTAAAAGCTAAATACTCGTTACAATAGCAAGAAAAGGCTATCGCAAGTACGTACGTGTTACGTACTGATACAATACGATTATTTCTCATTCTTCTTCGCCGAAACAATGATAGGAATACATCAGCGTTGTCTTTTTTCCTACGTCTTGTCAACATACTCGCACGTAAATGAACAGCTTAACCGAGGAACAATCGATAAGCGATGGAAGAACAATTTAACCTCGATAATTCTCTCCTCCATGTAAACACTAAAAAGTACTGAAACAAGGTTCCAAGGTTCCAAGGTTCCAGGTATAATTATCCGACATTTGGCGCGTGATGATTATAAATCTCTACATTAAATACTGCGTCCTAAACATTTTCATAGCATTCTGCTCGAATATTAAAGAAATTTCAACAAATATAATCCAGCAAATAATTCAAAACAACCTACCGACATCTCAGTCATTCAGCCGACAAACAAAGTTACTTATAATTCAAAACAACTCTCCGACCGCATACTTTAAACTCAAAACAATCCCCTCCCCCTCCCCAAGTACTTTTCTACCCTCTCGATTAGAGTAGTGACACGAATTAATTAAAATCGATAGAACCTGATCTCCGTCGATCGATTCAGCGTCCAACAAAAAGTGGATGCACGTTAAAAAGCGAGAAAAATTCGAGAAAGTTAAGAGGATTGTGTTTTCATCGGCAAGTTGATGCGCGCACGGTGTACGGGAGCGCTGCGCACGCGACGCCGCTAATTGGGCTTAAAGGACAAGCG